CCTATTTTACGTTATTTCCTATATCTCCTAATAATTAATGCGAATTAATTATTAGAGATATTAAGTGTTATACCCTTCCTTTCATATCATTTACCTTTTATTATTTTTCCTTTTACAAGATTATTGTAAGGGTTATTTATAACCTTATTCATATTAATGAAAATGTGTGTATTCCACCACATTATTTTGAGTTTTAACAGGATTTACATATATACCACTCAATTCTTATGTTTTTACATATTTAACACCTAAATTTCATTTTTTTTCGTATAGCCCCCTTTACCCAAGTATGAAAATGTGTATTTCAATTTTAAAAAGCTAAAATAGTGGTATTTTTTACGTGATACGACAAATTTGGGTGGTACAAAGATAAAAAAGTAAAGTTTAGGTGACAAATATGTAAATACATAGGAGCTGGGTGGTATGCATGTAAATGCCCCTAAAGGTTAAACTTACCCTCCAAAGCTAGCATTCATGTCCATCACGTTACGGATGCTTGACCAGTTGATTTCTAGATCAAGCATGTACACACCTGATACAAGTACTTCCCAACTCTTAGTGTCCTCATAGAATCTTTCTTCACCTGTCTCACTGTTCGACTTGAATATATTTGAAGGCCAAACATTTAACCTTTCAGGCCAGGAAACAGGCCAGGTCCGCCGCACGTCAGAGTTGGCAATATGGACAGGAGGCAGGCAATCTTCCAGAGGAGTATACCTAGAGAACCAGTAAAGCCCGAGAAGTTGTAAGGAAATAACATCGTATTAATAATTAGCCTTAGCCCAATTATTATTTGAGTTGGGCAATAATAATTTGGAAGATTTACATATATAACACTGATTCTTATGTATTTACATATCTAACATCTAAACTTCCATTTGTTACATATGCCACACTACCTACACATGAACAGGTGTATTCCAATTTTTAAAAGTCAAAATATTGGTATTTTTAAAATGATGTGAAAGATTTGGGTGGTATAAATGTAAAAAAACAAAATTTAGGTGATATGTAAATGAATAAGAATTGGATGGTATGTATATAAATGCCTCTAATAACTTACATAGTAAATAAATATCAGCGGACCATACCATGATATACTAGATCTGTTCTTCTGAGTGCATAAATGGGGATTTTTGACTTTTCTCTCTTCATAGCATTTGTTTGAGGTCGGCTTCTGATATATTACAAGTCCAATTCCAGTTGCGTCGGTAGCTTTCACTACTACTCTCCAGCAGATAGATTCCGTTAAAATTACCATGGCTGTAGGAAAAAATAAAAGCTGGAATCATTAATAGGAGAAAAAAGAAATGGAGATTTACATGCATACCGCACAGTTCTTATCTATCCACATATCTAAAAGCTAAAATTTAATATTTACTTACATAACACTTTGGTGTCATAATCACATCCCAACATATGCTTGAAATATTTAAAATTTGGATGTTATATAAGTAAAATATCAAAATTTAGGCATCTGAAACTGGATAAAAATTGTGTGGTATGAGAAAATCCCCCAAAAAGTAAAGTAATATTCATACTGTTGTACCATCTAACTTCAACAGATAATTTTTAAAAAAAAAGGCTGTGCACTCATGGTTGGTCAAAAATATTCATTAAAAATTAAGTAATTAGGTGTTCATTATGAATAAAACAGGATTACTCTTGCAGAAATAATCTCCTCGCTTTTTTTTTTTTATTGGGCAGTATAAATTAAAAAATCAGTAACAACATTCAGGAAGAAGAGAACTTTCAAGGATTGTGTGCTTCAGTCTACCGTTGCAAGCATATGTGCTTCATATATAAGCCGCGATGAATTCTCAACGTAAGAGACTTCGTAACAGATTACCTTCTCCAGTAAAGCTCATCCAGAAGCTCAAAAAGCAAATCTCATTAATATTTATATTTTATAACTCCCAAAGCATAAAGTGAATTATTTAGGAGAGAATAAAAATTTTGTGGCGGTAACTGAAAACAATGGCAGGAAAGCTCAAATTTAAAAAAAAAAAAGAAAAAGGGATTTGATACTTGAAGTCTTTTAGCCTATGTCATTAGTTGAACTTTCATCTTTTGTTTCTAATTTTTAAAATGGTTAGAATTTTATTTCATAATGGTAAGGATTATTTTATCCTTAATTAGGACTTCACAGTCTACTGCTGCAATTTTCATGATCTTCTGTTGCTGTCCACAACCTGAACTCTGGTAGAAAAGGCTAAACTGGCTGAAGGGAGGAGGTTTGAAGAGAAGTGCAAATTCAAGGACTTCGATTCTGGAAAACAACAATAGTAATTGGAGTCGATAAACTCTTTAATCTCAGGAAAGATTTCAATCAAGAAGTATTAAAAGATATTTTGTTCTTAAAATTGACATCGGAGGATCAAGAATCAAAGACTGAAGATGATGTTGGAAAGATGGGATATCAAGGAGTTTACATGAAAAAATGAATTAATATCTGGAGACTAAAGACGAAGACATTGCTTACAAATCAAGGCTTGGATGCAACTTTGTCAGAAGAAGTATTGAAAAAAGGAATGTGCAAAGAAACCAACTAGATCGTGCTAACAAAGCTCATAGTGCAATCCTCCTTGAATCTTGAAGATAAAGTTATAAGAGAGATTGTTGTGGAGTCGGCCATCGGTGTTTGAAGGGAGCTTGAATTCATATATATAAAGAGGTCCCTTGCAAAATGGTTGTATACCTTCCAAATGGATGAATCTAAATGGTAAAGAAGCACTGCGACTATGATATACTTGACCAATAGATGTCAATTCTTAGCTATTGGTTTCAACGCACCTCAAGAAGCTTTTAGGTGGAAGACCAGTTGATTACTCCTTCATAAAGGTCATTGGATATAGACATTATCTTACATAACACTTTGGTGTCATAATCACATCCCAACATATGCTTGAAATATTTAAAATTTGGATGTTATATAAGTAAAATATCAAAATTTAGGCATCTGAAACTGGATAAAAATTGTGTGGTATGAGAAAATCCCCCAAAAAGTAAAGTAATATTCATACTGTTGTACCATCTAACTTCAACAGATAATTTTTAAAAAAAAAGGCTGTGCACTCATGGTTGGTCAAAAATATTCATTAAAAATTAAGTAATTAGGTGTTCATTATGAATAAAACAGGATTACTCTTGCAGAAATAATCTCCTCGCTTTTTTTTTTTTATTGGGCAGTATAAATTAAAAAATCAGTAACAACATTCAGGAAGAAGAGAACTTTCAAGGATTGTGTGCTTCAGTCTACCGTTGCAAGCATATGTGCTTCATATATAAGCCGCGATGAATTCTCAACGTAAGAGACTTCGTAACAGATTACCTTCTCCAGTAAAGCTCATCCAGAAGCTCAAAAAGCAAATCTCATTAATATTTATATTTTATAACTCCCAAAGCATAAAGTGAATTATTTAGGAGAGAATAAAAATTTTGTGGCGGTAACTGAAAACAATGGCAGGAAAGCTCAAATTTAAAAAAAAAAAAGAAAAAGGGATTTGATACTTGAAGTCTTTTAGCCTATGTCATTAGTTGAACTTTCATCTTTTGTTTCTAATTTTTAAAATGGTTAGAATTTTATTTCATAATGGTAAGGATTATTTTATCCTTAATTAGGACTTCACAGTCTACTGCTGCAATTTTCATGATCTTCTGTTGCTGTCCACAACCTGAACTCTGGTAGAAAAGGCTAAACTGGCTGAAGGGAGGAGGTTTGAAGAGAAGTGCAAATTCAAGGACTTCGATTCTGGAAAACAACAATAGTAATTGGAGTCGATAAACTCTTTAATCTCAGGAAAGATTTCAATCAAGAAGTATTAAAAGATATTTTGTTCTTAAAATTGACATCGGAGGATCAAGAATCAAAGACTGAAGATGATGTTGGAAAGATGGGATATCAAGGAGTTTACATGAAAAAATGAATTAATATCTGGAGACTAAAGACGAAGACATTGCTTACAAATCAAGGCTTGGATGCAACTTTGTCAGAAGAAGTATTGAAAAAAGGAATGTGCAAAGAAACCAACTAGATCGTGCTAACAAAGCTCATAGTGCAATCCTCCTTGAATCTTGAAGATAAAGTTATAAGAGAGATTGTTGTGGAGTCGGCCATCGGTGTTTGAAGGGAGCTTGAATTCATATATATAAAGAGGTCCCTTGCAAAATGGTTGTATACCTTCCAAATGGATGAATCTAAATGGTAAAGAAGCACTGCGACTATGATATACTTGACCAATAGATGTCAATTCTTAGCTATTGGTTTCAACGCACCTCAAGAAGCTTTTAGGTGGAAGACCAGTTGATTACTCCTTCATAAAGGTCATTGGATATAGACATTATTGTCACGGACAAAAAGTCCCACATTGGCTAGATGTAGGGCTGAAAAACAGTATTTAAGACCTGGACTGCCCACCACATCGAAGAATTCTTTTGGGAGATGACAAGTGGTATCAGAACAGATTATTGTCTGTCAGGTGTGTGGACTCTCCATGGTCCAGTGAGACCCTCGGTAGAACAGATCCGTGACGAGGGCGTCCACGTGATTGGGTGGAAGATTGGGTGGAAGAGAATGTCACGGACAAAAAGTCTCACATTGGCTAGGTGTAAGGCCGAAAAACAATATTTAAGTCCTGGGCTGCCCACCATCCCGAAAAGCTCTTTTGGAAGGTGACATTATGCTCACATAAAAAAAAACAAGGTCGAGCAACATTCAATGAAATACAAGTTTACTAGCTACCTAGAAGTTAAAAGGGTATCAGCTATGGTGTTTGGAGCCAGAATGTACAAAATGCATGATTAGTAGGGATGTTTTGCAGCAAAAAGCCAAAGAAATTTTAACAAATAAAGCATAAGACAAACAAAATGATGCCAAAGAGACAGTAGAACTTGTGGCAGATCAGCCAAACCAAGAAAGTTAAAAGCCAATGATCAACAACCAGATGAAGCTCGTTCTAACAAATTTGGACAAGAAACTATTGAAGAAAGGCAAATACTAATGGCTTGGCAATAAACATGTTATCAAAGAACTACAAATGTATGGACATATTAATCACATAACATATACTTTTATTACAAGTTTGATGAGTGGAAAAGAGTCAAAATTGTACAAAGGACCCATGGGGAGTAACGAAAAAAAGTCATTGCTCATTAAGGAAAAAATTGGCGGACACACTGAAGCACCAAAAGTTAATTAGTTGCAAGTGTTTGTTTAGAAAAAGGGAAGATTTCACTGAATTTGAAGGAGTTAGATATTCAATGAAAAATCAATTACGAAGGGCTTCTCACAAGTAGGTGTTAGCTACAAAAGAGTATTATCTCCAATTGTGCACATCAATCAAAATCTTGCTTCCCATACCTAGTCACTTCAACGTGAAACTTGCACAAACTGATGTGAAGACAACAAGTATTTATGAAGATTTGTAAGAAGGAATACACGAAACAACCTGATGGTTTCAATGAAGTGAAGCTGAAAATCAAGTGTCTTCTTAATATATCCTTGTATGAACTTAAATAATCATTGATAATTTGTTACATGAAATTTGATGATTAAATGTCAAAACTTAGTTTAAAAATGATTATTACTCTCGTGTTACTTACAAGGATCATGAAGCTTTAAAAATGATTCATCTCATTTTGCATGTTGATGACATGCAGATTGCTAGTGAAAGCATGGTGAAAATATCGAAAGTTAAAGGATCTCTTGAAGCCAAGTTTGATATAAAAGATTCATATCCTACAATGACGATTCTTAAAGTAAAGTTAAGGAAATATTCAAGGAACAATTTCATTCCCAAACTTCTTACCTGAAACAGGTGATTAATATGTTTAAAATACGAGATTCAAATCTAACTCCTTTGGCTTAACATGTGAAGCTAAGCAAAGATGAGACACCATCAAATGATGATGAGAGGAAGCCCTAACATGGGTACTTCACCAAAATGCAGGTGAAAGCGCTACTTATGTGATAGTTTGCAACTAACCTGATTTGGCATATGATTTCAATGTGGCTTGCAAGCATTTATATATTACATCTAAAAATCATTGAAAAGAAAAAACATGTCTTCTAAGGTATCCCAATAGAACATATAAATTGGGCTTCAGATACACATGTGCGACTCTACATGAAGTGATTGCAGGGTACATAGATTCAGATTTTTTTTTACAAATGTGGACACTATAAAGTTGTTGATTTGTTTTGTATTTAAAGTGATTGGAAACACAATCAATTAGAAATCTTATTTGCCTTCTGTGGTGGTTCA